TTTTTTTTTTTTGGTCATAGGAAGAGAAGAAGAAACCACAAGAAGTGATACAATTTATATAGTGACGGTGGTTCGCAATCTTCAAATTGAAACAAGGAATTAGGTGGTTCGCAATCTTCAAATTGAAACAAGGAATTAACCCCTCTGTGGTTGGTGCTAATAGGTCTGTCCTGAATTGGGTATTTGCTGGCACATTGCAATTGGAGATTGAGCATCGTTTGGTCATGATTTAGCAGTGATTTTGGAGTTCCTGAGTTGTGCCAACGCTCCTGGCTTTAGGTATGTATAATACGACGGCATTGAAGATCTCAAATTCCTGCTTCTTATCTTAGATTTCATTTTTCTATTTTGGAACTTGAGTTGGAATTAGAGAAGAGAGGTTTTTTGATGAAAGACGGAACTGTGTTTCCGTGATAGTTGGATCGGTGACTAGTCTTTTAATTAGTTTTGGGCTATAAAATACATACTGTAATTTTATGGCTAGCGGTTGATATTAGTTTCTAGCGGCTGACCATAAATGAAGTTTGCTCAATATATAATGAGCTACCACAAAAATTAGCGTTGAGTAGAAGCCACCACCTAGCGAGTCTAGCTAAATAATGAATCACTTGCTACACTTAGTTTCTTATTTTGTGCCATACGTAAGGTTACAAAATCAATGAATAATGACATATGATTACTTTTTTCCCTCAGTCTCTAGTCTCTGTTGCTCATACAAGTTTGTTGGGATTGTCTAATATGTAATTGCGTCTTCACCCATCTTTCCAAGTATTCTCGTGAGAGTTGAGACGGCATTCGCTAACTAGCCTTATCTGTCTAATTGGTGTCTCATAATCAGATCCCACTCCTACAAAATAAAGGATAAAAAGAGAGGAAAAAGGGAAAACATTGCTTCAATTTTTATTTTTAGAAAATAACTTTTGATAAGAGAAATGAAATAAAATAAGTTACACTTTTCATGTTTCAAAGCAATTATATTTTAACTTATTATTCTAATATTCTTTCACACTTTTTCTATGATACAATTTATCATATGTTTGACTAAAACGGCTCAATAATACACTTAACGTGGTGTGCGATATTGTTCGCTTTAAACTTTCAAAAGGTTTTACACCATTAAGAGATCCTTATATGTAGGCTTCCAATCTTTTCAGCTACCAATATAGAGTTTTGTTTGCACATCCAACAATTTTTCCTTCGAACTAAGTTTCACGTAGCCCACTACCACAATCCACGGGTCTCCCCCTCGAACCAGTTCCACGTGACCATTACCACGATCCACTGATCAATGTTCGAGATTCATTGTGCATCACCCACATCATTAGAGTATTTATGACATCTACTATAATCCACAAGTTTCCCACTCGAACCAGTTCCATGTGACCGTTATCATGATCCACGGGTCAATTTCGAGATTCACTACATCATTAGAATATTTATGGCAACCAAAGCTCGCAACTAGCTTCTTTTTGTGTGCAGGTCTCCCAGCTCGTAAAGGTAAGCAAACTGAGCCTAGTTCCATCACTCTGCCATCGTCATACTCGTCCTGCTGAACATGGGCTTCGATACCAATTGTTGTTTAAGACGACCCAATGATACTCTTAACATAATATAATATTGTCCGCTTACTCTTTTCCCCAAAAAGGCTTCACATCATTAAGAGACCAATACACCTTATATGTAGGCTCTCAATCTTTTCAACTACCAATTTGGGACTTTGTTGTCACACCCAATATCATAGATATTGCGAACAACTAACAAAATATTCAAATTTTTTGCTAATTGCTCGGTTATAAATTACTAACTTTATTGACAAATTTTGCTTTAAACAAATATTACACACAAAAAAATACAACAACGACGACGACGACCTAGTGAAATCTCATCAGTGGAGTTTGGGGAGGGTAATGTGTACGCAGACCTTATCCCTATCCGAAGGGTAGAGAGGCTGTTTCCGAAAGACTCTCGGCTCAAGAAAACGAAAAGAGGCAATATACACACACACACACAAAAAAAAAAAAAAAAAAAAAAACAAGTTAGCAAATGGAAGAAAAAGAGCAAAAATTCTTTTTTCTTTTATTATAAATAAAACAAAACTTTCAAGATTGTACTAACTAGAATTGACCGCATGTTATTATGCCAATAGCCATGAGATCTTTCCAGACCTACCAAAAGAACTCTTGTTTTTTCCCCAAAGATAGCCTATTTGTATCTGACATTTTTTCTTTGATTTTTTCTGTTTCCACATTTTATTTCAATTAACAGAAATTAGTCCCTTTTCCCCTTTAGTAAAATTTCAGGCCTCAGAAATAGGCACCAAGTCAAGAAGTGTGACACATCCTCCACTCAACCATGTCCCCATAAGCCCCCCACCCCCGCACCCCCACCCCAACACCCACTCCAGTACCCAGAGTTCAGCACTAAATCTGGCAAAACTCACCAAACTTAAGAAATCATTTTGCTGAACTTTTTGCTTTTCAAAGCTCTGATATAAACAACTTCTTAATCTCATAATCTTTTTGAACTGTAGAAGAGAAAATTATGGCGTCTTTCTCAAACATGGGCGCCATTTGCAGAATTACCTCTCCTCCTCCTCGTAGTAGCACTAGTAGTAGTAGAGCTCTCTTTCCTACTTTCCGCAGTTACAGTTTTTCACAAATCTCTCGCTCTCGGTCAGTATTCCTTGATTTAACATTCATCTTCTAATGTTCTTTTATTCATTTTTTTCTTTTGTAATTTGTTTGTTGAACATGTTGAAGTATAATTATTTGATACTTAAAAAGAACTTGATGCTTAATTAATATGACTAAATCGAAAAGTCGGGCATTCATGCTGCTTCACGGAAAGAGAATGAAAGTACTGTTCTACACCTAATCTAATACACATATCACACCATTGATTTACATCTTGACCAAAATATTGTTCTTTTCCGGAGTTATAAAGGACTGTTAAAATGCAATGACGTTGCAGTTCTGAATCTCAATCAGTTAACCCCTCAAATTTCAAATAAGTTGGGGTCGACTATGTGAATCCTTTATATCCATTTCGCTCTATTTCTGAGGATTCATCATGGTTATTAATTAGTTAGTTATCTTTAGTCCAACATATAGCAACCAACCCCCTTTCTCGGGGCTCAAGGGTTGCAAAGCTCACGAACGTGAGGTTGGTGCAATTTCAAATCTTTAGCAAAATTAGATAAAGCAAATAATAACACCATTAGAATTACATCTTTAAAAGAATTGTAAAAGAGTAATCATTCATGTTGTGATTATTTAACATTGAAAACTGTATGCATATCATTTTCAGAATGAAATTTACTGTTTCATACTTTACCAAGAGAGTTTTCCTTGTTAACCATGATTGACTTTTTGTCACAGCATAATCTAGATATGCACAAAAACTACATTATTTGAATTGAGCCTTGACTAAACTAGTTTTCTGAGTACTGGATTAAGGTTTTCACGAAAACTTTATTGGTTATCTGTATTTGGGATTTTTCCCACATTTCTGGCGATTTTAACTGTTGAAATTTTCTTTCGGCTGATCTGACATCTAACTTGATATGGTGAGATGTTTCCCTTCATTTTAGTTCTTGCAGACTTGGTATCAGATGCAGTTATGCTGAAGCTGTTAGAGAGGATCCTAGCTCGGGTGCAATTGATGTTGTCGCGGATGTGAAATCTGAACGAGTATTAACATTTTCTTTTTCTCCTGTCTAGATCAAAGACCATTTACAACTGTCAATTTCAGCTACTAGATGTCATTCACTTTCTCTTTTGACAGATTGTAGTTATAGGAGGCAGCGGCTTTGTTGGCTCTGCGATATGCAAGGCTGCAGTATCTAAGGGTATAGAGGCCATAAGTCTGAGCAGGTGTGCTGGTAGATCTTAAGCATTTTCTGTTGATTCATACAATTGCTTTATCCTCTTATTTTGTTGTTATCTATTGTGGGTTCTCAATTTGTAGTATTTCCTACACAGATCGGGGCGTCCTTCTTACTCAGGCCCATGGGTAGATCAAGTCACTTGGATGGCAGGCAGGTTCATTTCTTGATCATATCTTAAGTAGGATGATGATGAGTGCAAGTGAAAATTTTACATTGGTGAACACTATGCGAAAGTTGGTTTTTAGGCCCTCGCCTGATGAAAGCCATAGTAGTTTATTTCTTCCTGACTAATAAGTACCTACTGAAGATAATCGAAGACTCTCTTGCTACACTTAATAAGGAAAAAATTAATCTACTAAAGCTCCTCATGAGTTTGCAAGTCCAAAAGTGGGAAGCCATGTGGCATCCTGCTGCTTTACCTCATCTCATGAAAATGACATGTACCCGCGTAGTCAGTGTTTATGTTTAATCCAATCAACCTGGAAAAGAGATTTTGTCTGTATAGATTATGGTGTAATTACCGCTTTTGGCTAAAATCCTTTGCATGGAATAGTTTTCACCCAATTCAGATTATTCATATGATTTTCGTATCCTGTAGGAGATGTTTTCTATGCAAACTGGGATGAAGTACTTGTTGGTGCTACCGCAGTTATTTCAACTTTGGGAGGTTTTGGTTCCGATGAACAAATGCAGAGGATCAATGGTGAAGCTAACGTTGTGGCTGTGAATGCTGCTAAAGATTATGGTTAGTAGCTTTTGATTTATTCCTATGAAAAATCCATAAAACCGAGCTTAAAAAGATATGCTTTGTGTTTTCTTATGTCAAGTGAGAACACTTTTGGCTGATATTTTTTCCTAGGCCTATCTTCTCAATTTCATTTGGCTTTAACTTACAAAATGTCTAATGAATCAGATAGGGATGCATCACTGTGATGAAGTGTGAGGCATGGTTGGATCCACTATTTACTTTAGCTCAGAGCTAATGATTGCAAAAAACTGATGCTAAAAAATTTACCTGTTTCTTAAGCAAAATTCCGCTCATGTCACTTTTTGATGAAATACTTTCCGCTCATGTCACTTCTAAGTTGTTGATGACATTTACAAGCTGAAGCCATCCATAGATTGAAATAAATTGCTTGAGTTTACTAGCTTTTTGGTGTAAATTGTAGGATATGTATGCTATGATAAATGATAGATTGAAATACATGATTTTTTATTTCTCTTGCACTGTCTTGGTGCTGGTTTGTCAATTAATAAAACTTACCTTATCTATCAAACGACTATTACTACGCCTTGATCTTAAGCTAATCGGGGTTGGCTATATGAGACCTCACTATTCAATAATTTGGGATTATTTAACACAGAGGTTCTCTATATTTTGTGTTGATGTACAAATGTCTAAAAAGATTGAAAAGACTCCCAGCAAAAAAATGGACCTAATGTAAGCTTATCAACATGACTAAGCATCAGTCCCTACTAGTTAATATCTCCTATATGGATCTTATGCTTCCATCTTGCTCTATTTTTCACCAAGTCTACATTGATTTCAAGAGGTTGTAGGTCTTTTGAGACAACCTTTTTCATGTGATTTTAGGTCTTCTTTGTCCCCTGTTAACACCTTCAATGATTATGTTTCACATGTATGACGATGCATTTGGTTACATAAAACATGATCAAACCAAATAGACCTTTTCTGTAAGTATTTCAAATTTTTTCTAATCTTATATAACTGCACACTGATGCAGATGTAGAGGGGGGGGAAAGGCCAACATGAGTTCCACAAAAATAAGGATGTCAAAAGAGGAAAAGAAAGTAGGGTTTTTTATGATGTCACCTCTGCAATTGGGTCTGCTGCTATTAGATAGAGAGGTTAAGTTGGAAATCTTTTCGATCCTTTGAGTTTTGAGTTTCTTTCGTACTCTTACAATGGTATATCAATCTTTCATAATCGATTCACCTATGTTGGTGCTAATCCCAAGAAATCTTTGAAAAAATATTACCTCAGAAGCTATTTTACTTCGATTAGTTGTACCTTTTGAGAAGCATCTTGAGGTTGATTACTCTGGTATTTCGTGATATGGACTGACAGAAGGGCATTGTTTAGAGTCCTTATCAGAAAGCACATTCATGTAATTGAGATAAGTAAATTCTTGTTAGTGCCTTAAGAGACTTAGGGTGGATGTGAAAGAAGTAATCTCAAGGTAAATGGTCCCATCACCCTAGGGTTTGGGATGGGGTTATTATCATCTCTCATACTCAAGGTTTTGCCACTTCATCGTTTTGCCACTTCATCTTACACCTAATTTTGTGTGCATAATTTGTTAATCGTTTTGCCATTAACAGTATGGTGCCTCTTTGATGTGTTCAGGAGCAACTTTTATGGCAGATGTAACTAATCTTTTTGCACATTTCCTCATCCTTCTCATTGTTCCCTTCTTATTTCTCCATATTATTCATGTCAAATCTAGGGTTTATAGTTGTTCAATGTAAATTACATGAAAACTTTTGTTATTCTTGCAGGGATTCCTAAGTTCATATTGATTTCTGTACATGAGTACAATCTACCATCATTCCTCCTTCAATCAGGCTACTTCACAGGGAAAAGGAAAGCAGAATCAGAAGTTCTTTCCAAATACCCTAACTCAGGTACACAATAAGATTTGTCATTGGTGGCACTATGGCAGCCTGAAGCTTACAGTTCTAAAAGTTGTTCTAAATTGCCGAAACCGAACCTAGTGTAGTTCATTGAAATTATTGAGTACAACACCATGCCTGCAAAAAGCTCGTCAATAAAATGGGACGAAAATCAGTTACACTTTGAGGATGTGATTAAACCTATGTGCCATATGGCACCCAAGGGTGTGGCCTAGCGGTCACTGAAGTGGGGGAAAACCTTGGAGACAAAAAACGCTAGGTGATTTCTTCCCATCTCCCTAAACTTTGATGGGAAGAATTACCGGTACCTGCGATGGTGGGAGGTTGCAGGTACCACTCCTATGTATCATAACAAAGTTATTTACGTGCCTTCAAGTGTTACTAGTTGCTGACCTGAAAAAAATTGTTGCTGACTCTAAACTAGTTCTGCCTCAATTTTGTGTTTACATTTCTCAGGTGTTGTTCTTAGACCTGCCTTTATATATGGGAAGAGGAAGGTTGATGGTTTCGAGATCCCTCTAGATTTGATTGGAGAACCTCTTGAGAAAATTTTACGTGCAACGGAAAGCTTCACTAAACCATTGAGCTCGCTGCCAGCATCTGATTTACTTTTAGCCCCTCCTGTTAGCGTGGACGATGTTGCCTATGCTGTGATAAACGCTGTCAAGGATGATGACTGTTTTGGCATTTTTACCATTGACCAAATCAAAGAAGCAGCAGCAGGAGTTAAGGTGTAAAAGGTTCACAATTAAAAGAAAAATCATATACACCTTTTTTGAAGATAAATGATATACATCTTGTAACAAACTTATTTATATAGAAAATGTATCTATTACTTATGCTATGCAGAGCGGTGTAAAGTACCGACGGAAAAGGGCCTAAATTACCCTTGTCGTTTGCTAAATGGTTTGCAAATACCCTCCGTCCATCTATCCGTTTAAAAAAGCACACGACGTTAATTCTATTAATAAAATTACCCTTGCGTCTAACGGCAGATCCTGTGAGCCTATAATTTAATGACGTGGCGGTTTTTTACTAGGCCACGTGGCAATCTCGGGTTGAAACAAAAAATAGGTCTTATTTCGACCCATTTACCTTATCCGACCCTAAGTTTTCTTACCTGGGTTAAAAAATTACATTAACCCATCTGACCCTAGGTTTTCTTTCCTCATCAGAAAATGAAATTTTAAAGCAAGAGACCAAATCAGAGCAGCAGCAAAAGAATCAGTCTAATTCCAATTCCTTTTGGGGTGTTTAGAGAAGCAGTAGTGTTCATTGTGTTAATACATACAAGAAAAGCTCATTTGGTCATTACTCTTATTATCCCACAACAATTCTACTGGTTCAGTGCCTAATTCAAAGCAATCAGTACAAAAATAGAGTAGTGTGCAATGGAAGCAAATGAAGAATTCATCAGCAGCAGCTAGTTTTTACACATCGCAAAAACCACCATTGAGAAAGAATTATGGACCAGGGCCTAATTATGGTAATGTTATTCGGATTAGTCCAATTCTAAATGTCTTATTTGGATTTGGGTCTCTGTTTTGCAATGGAAAAGATAATAAGAGTAAGAAATGATTTTGTGTGTTTCTGTTACTAATTACTATACCTCATTATTCTCATAACTTAATGAAATACAACACAGTATGTTCTATACATAATTTTTTCATTATTTTTTGAACTTTTTTTTGTGTTATTCATTAGAAGGAAAGAATTGTGTTCGGGATATCAACAGAAGTTGGGCATTGTATTGTTTGATGTGACCATTTTAAATTATAAGTTCAAAATTTAGTAAAACCACTATTTATTGTTTACTACACCCCAAAGAAAATCATAAGCTAAAAGGATTATGACCCAGGTAAGAAAACCTAGGGTCGGATCAGATAGTGGGTCGAAATAAGACTCATTTTTTGTTTCAGCCCAAGATTGCCACATGGCCCAATAAAAAATTGCCATGTCATTAAATTATTATTAATAGAATTAACGTGATGTGTTTTTTTGAACGAATAGATGGATGGAGGGTATTTGCAAACTATTTAGCAAACGATACCTTTTCCGAAGTAAAGATAATGCATATATTGGACCTTTTGATGCCAAAATAGCCACGTATACAAAGTTAGCATTACCTTGCTTTCATCCCTATGATCCTATTTCACTTTCTTTTCTTATGTAATTCTATAGACTGTAAGAGGAGCAAGGCAACACCATCTTGCAGAACACCTTGTGTTAGAGATTGGAATAGCATAATCGAATATTACGCAATCAATAGATGGCTAATTGTATATTATTCATGGATAGAATCATGAATCCTTGTCGTCTGTCGAAGTGAGACCTCTTAAGGCTACCAAGTGTGCATTCCGTTGGTTGTAGTATACCAAATGAACTAGCAGAATTTAACTTTCAATTGTTTAGTTGGTTTGGTTTTTAAGTGTCCGCACCTTGGAATTTGACCTAATTAATCTGAATATGAGCATCTTTACATGCTGTCTCGTTTAGATATTTCTCGACCTAATACCTGCATAAAATTCCAAATGTTTTTCTCCGCAAAAGGAGGTTTTACTCCTATTGCAAGTGAATATTTGAAATCATAAAATTCAATATCACGCTGAACACCCTTGATTGATGATAAAAGTTCCATCACAACACGCCGTTCAGAAAAGCAAAATGTCTGCAAATTTACAAGGATTTAAGGAAAACAAAATTTTAGCTCAACACCTGTAGGTTAGGCTCGTGTCACGACTCCGAATCTTGCCGCGAACCAAAAGTATGGAATGTAAGTGGAGAAAGATAAAGGAGCGGCTCCTATGTCCATCGAGTCTCAAACCATGAGCCTAGTCCTTGGAGATTTTTCGGTTATAAAGAGAAGAAAACATATAACAATGCCTTTATCTGTGCGTTGTACTTGATTGAGATGCAATTTGAACCCAAACAAACTCCTCTTTGTAAGCCACACTTCCATCACACGAGGCTTCACAGGCGTAAACAGCAATAGCAGCCCAGTCAAGAGAACTAACATCATTTTCCACACCAAAATAATAGAGTATTTGTGGTAAAACCTGCAAGCAGCAGACAAGAAGAGCATAAATCAAAAGCTAATTCACAACACCTTCTAGGCAACCCACAATTTTTTGGCCACGCGTTTTCCAAGACCAGAGACATACAACTAATTTAATTACTAGTTTAAAATGGCCATCAGCTATTACTTGCAAGCAGAGCAAAAGCTTCATTTTACCTGAAACTCAAATACCCTACGACCACCACAATAGCTGCATTTAGGAATCTCAGCCTTTGATGGCTGGCCACTTGACATTGGCCATAATGGTTTTGCTCCAGCGTCTCTGTAATACCTATTTTCCAAGATAGTGATCGAATCTCAATGGCAAGTCATGTGATCGTAATTCTTAGGGGATAGCAAAGAAGGCAGCTTATGCAAAGTGTTGTCACAATAAAAATAGCAACAAGAACTTCAATCACCTTAATACTTGCTCAGGCGTACGGGATATCCTCTCCTGGAAAGATGCCCAACTCTTCTTGTCATCTTCCCCCTGTATAGAAACAATTACGTAAAGTTGAAATTAGTCTTCCATATATCCATCAAAAATTAGAAGAGCCTTACATACCTCAAAGCTGTCTATAAGTGATTCAATTGATTCATCCACTCGGCTTGAAGAAATCAATGAGTTCAGTTGTCCGTTATCATCGAAGATCTTATCCTCACATTCATCAGTAATTGCAATCTCATACTCAGGCCACAGACTCTTGCTTGCAACTGATTGAGGATTAAAATCTCCATGAACTTCGCATGCAGTGACATTTTAAATATACAACATTCTTGCCCTTTTTTTTCTAGTATCATATAAATTAAGATAGATTTATGAACATCACATCTATTACCCTTACCTTCTTGCATCTCCCCAACAGTCCAATTATTGCTAGATTCAGATGCTTCCAATGGTAAACAGCGTCTTTTATGACCTGATTTCCAATGAACGGCCTGCAAATTGGATTCATTTTAGGAAAATTCTCAGCCTAACAAAGAGGAGGAAAGGAAGCATAGCTAACCTGGTGTTTTTCAGAGCAGTAATGTGCTCTTCTGCAACCACCACAAACTTTATCTCCTTTCCAGGTACCACACCAACCACAAAGAACAGCTGAAAAATGCAAGACAAGATGTATGTGTTAGTAATATTTTTGGGAGATCAATTAATATTGGAGTTAAAAGAAAAGGAAAGGTCTATTCCAAATACTTTTTGAAATCAATTGTCAACTTCAGTCATTACCTCCAGCTCTAGAAGGTTTATCTTTCCCATTGTTTCTTGGGGGCTCACTGGAGTAAAAAGAGTTATTACGGGGCAATTGGCAACGGAAGACCTTGACACTTAAAAAAATACATTCGGTGATCAGAGTTAGAAGGAAAAAATACATTAAAAAGAAAAAAAATTCAATTAGGAAGAAGTACCTCCTGGATGGCTTGACTTGGTTCCTTTTCCACTGCTCGTGTTGGTCTTTAAGGAGACAGGCCATTGATGTGCACATGAAGAGAAATAAGGTGCGATGAAAAGTAGAATCCTTCTCAGTGAGTGGTGCATAAACCTGTAAAATGAGTGAATTTTAACAAAAAGAAAAAAAAAACAATTCAGTTTCCTCCTTTCCCTCTCCTTAGACAAAAACAAAAGAAAGCACAAATGGTAGAAACGCACAGACTTGAGAAACAAATAGGATGCTCAGAAAAAGTTATATGGGAGCAATTTGAGGAATCAATGAACGAAGACTACAAAGTGTGAAGTCCAAATACAAAATGCTCTCTTGGGACATGTGCAACCTTTCCAAATTCTCTTCCTAATCACCTTTTCCGATAGCTTTCGTTGCCGCCGATTACTTCTTTCCGATAATTCAGATCTTCTTCTTTATCCTTTCCTTTACCTTTTCCTCTACTCTTTCTTCATCAGTGATTCCTCAATCAATTTATTTCTTCCCCTCTGTTCTTGTCTCTACCCTATCCTTTTGTTAATTGATCACTTTTCACTGAGTAACTTAAGCCTACTTTACGGCGACGAGAAAAGTGAAGGTGGCCAGTTAATAAATTAAAATGGGTAGAGCTTGCTTTTTCTCCTCCGGCAACAAATCTTTTGAAGTAGTGGAACTCAGTGATAATTAGTTTGAAATTGTAGAAAGGAGAAGATTTCTAATGAACAGAGTTACTCTTGACAGGCTTAACATCCTGGGCTTATGTAAATGCATGGAATTATCAACAGAGCGACGGGGTAACATATGTAGAAGCTGGGATTTTCAGAGCCAAGTATATTCATATCGTATTTTCCAGAATTTTAACAGGATGGGCAGATTCATCGGAGTCGTGGCAGTGAAAGGCAGCAGTAAAGTATCCATCATAGTTCCTGAGATCAGCGAGAATGTTGGGTGGTCTGATTTTGCAGAAAAGATCAAGAGATTTGTTCTGGAGAAGGAGAAGACGAGGTATGAACCTCTAAATTCTAAAAGCGGAGAGTTTTATTCAGGTGGCGCGGATGGAACAATGGCCTAAAGATGAAATCAAAGTGATGAACGATGAGTCCTTGGAACCAAATCAGCTTCGGATTGAATCTAGTTCGTTAAGGAGCAGAGCGGATTTTCATCGAAAGTGTCTGTTGGGCTCCTTTAGTTATTATCCTCATAAGTTTCCAAACTGCAAAGAGTTACAAGCTTGGGCAAACAAAAAGTGGAAGATTCCGGCAGGGGTGGTAGTTAAGGAGCTGAATGATGAATATTTCCTTTTTGAATTCCCTTCGAGAGTGGAAGCAGAGAGAATCAAAATGGGAAAATGGATGTTTGAAAATCAAGAATTATTCTTGGATTGGTGGTCCCAGGTTTTAACTTGTAATCACAGAAACTCTAAACCCGAAAAGGTTTGGATCAAGTTAATAGGTTTTCCTTCTCACCTATGGTCAGAGAATATCTTCGAGATGGTTGGTGACCGGTATGGTGGCTTTCCGGGTATTGATGAAGACACAAAAAATAGAAGTCATCTGAGATGGGCGAGGATATGCGTAAAATATTCTGACACATCTTTTTCCGGCATCAATAGAACTGATTGTAGAGAACCTTATCTTCAAAGTACCTTTATGGATTGAACCAATTTCTTGGGTGGAGGAAATTGGCCGGAAAAGTGACCGAGAAGGTGACCGGAAAAGAGGAGAAGATCATCGGAGAGTTTCTCAAAACTCGAAGAGTCACATTAATGAGAGACAGTCGGCACCCTCGAGTTCCAAGACAACAGAAATACTGGGAACGGAGATACGTGATATACGTGTGCCAAAAATTTTTAAGAAGTTAAAATTGAGTTTGGGGATGAGCCATGCGTCGATTAAAGGAAAGGATCAGGTGTCCTTTAATATATGTGGGCCCTCAAATAACTCTAATGCAAACAAGTCGGGTAACTATAATGGGCTGAAGGGCACTTATTATTCAAAACAGAATGCAGGCCCAAAAGAGGGTTTTAATCAGAGAAAGATGGGCCAGAAAGTTCGTTATAGAGTAAAAGTGGTCGACCCATGTATCCAAAAGTCCCCTTTTAATGCTGGAGATCTAGAATTATCCAACTCTTTCGACCCTTTAGCTGTTGAAGTTGAGGCGATAAAAGAAAAAACCTTTTCTCCGGAGGGGAAGGACATGGAAGATATTTAGCAACAAAACGACCCAAACGAGAGATTTTGGGCAATTGAAATGGTAAGCAACTCAGAGAGGAAAGAAGAGAAGAATCTGGAGAATCTTCTACCTGAGGAAGATACCCCAAGCATCAATGGAGAGATGGTGGAGAAGCTGATGAATAACATTTCCAATAGCGAACAAGACATTGATGAATCTCTGCTTAACTATGAGGAGAGACTGGAAGTTGAAGAAGTATTAGAAGTTGATGAAGCCCAGGATATTTTGATGCTGCTATGGTATGAGAATCAGGCGCTGAATATTGAGCAGAAGTTAATGCATCTGCAAGCATCAGTTTGGGTAAAAAGAAACATGACAAAAATTAGCAAGCAATTGGGGATAAAGACAGAAGACATTGGGGAAAAGCTTATGGAGCTTCTTATGAGGATCGATAGTGAAAGACCAAAAAAATCTTCTACGTCTGCTTCAGTGAGTACTATTTCTCCAAGCAAAAAATGTGAAAGGGAACTGAAATTACTAGAATTTGGAATGGGCTTTGGAGGTGATACAAGTAAAGGGGGGAGAGGAAAGGGAAGGAGAGCATTGCCAGTTGATCAATGAATTTGAAAATTATATGTTGGAATGTGAGGGGTGTTAACAAGGTAGAAAAAAGGGAGTTGGTTAAATTAGTGTTAGGAAAATGGAAGGCTGATATTGTGTGCTTGACAGAAACAAAAATGAAAAAGATAAATCTAGATTGCATCAGACAGCTTGGTGGATCTAGGTGGACTGAGTGGGTTGAATTGGAAGCACAGGGTAACGGCGGTGGGATTGTTATATTCTGGGAGAAAAGAAGATGGAACTGTTTGGAGAAAATTATGGGTCAACATTCAGTCACAATCTTGCTAGAAGAAGAAAAATCTGGATATCAATATGCTTTTACGGGAGTTTATGGTCCTTGTGATAGGAAAGAAAGGAAAGGTTTATGGAAGGAACTGGCTGCAATCAACGGAATTATGTCACAACCATGGACGGTGGGGGGAGATTTTAATGTAATTAGGTTTGAAGAGGAGAAGAGCCAAGAACACGAGCTATGAGAGAGTTCTCAAAATTTATTCATGAGCTCTCTTTGATTGATCTCTCACTTCATGGAGGTTCTTATACTTGGTTTAGGGGGAGAAATAGTCAGAGTGCATCCATGATTGACAGATTCTTATTATTAGAAGATTGGGATGAACATTTTAAATTTTTAAAACAGAGAGGATTCTTCCTAGAACTACTTCAGATCATTGCCCAATCTTATTAGAATGTGGAGATTGGAGAAAAGGAAAAGGGTACTTTAATTTTGAAAATATGTGGATGGAGCATAAAGGTTTCTTAGAACTAATTGACAACGGGTGGAAATCCTACAATCTACAAGGTGATCCTGACGTTGTTCTTGCAAAGAAACTTAGACTTTTGAAAGGTGATTTAAAAAAAATGGAATAAAGAGGTTTTTGGTAAATTGTAGGATAGGAAAAGTAAGGCTTGGGCCAGACTGGAAGAAATTAATCATGGTATGGTATTTGATCAGGATTATGAAAATTTAGACTCAGAAAGAAATTCTATCATGATGGAGCTGGAGGAATTGGTAAAAGCTGAGGAGATCTCATGGAGACAAAAGTCCAAATGCATTTGGCTTGAGCCAATGCCCATAAGAGATTCAATTGTATTGACAAGATAGAAATTGATGGAAAGTTGGTAGATGATGATAACAGAATCAAAACACATTCAGAATTTCTATGAGAAATTGTTCAGTGAAACTGAAGAATGGAGGCCAAGTTGGGAAGATGATACTTTGATGACACTTTCTGATGAGGAAAAGGAGTGGCTGCAGAGACCTTTTTCTATGGAAGAGTTGGAAAATGTTATTAAATCATTCAGAGACATAAAGCACCAGGACCTGATGGCTTCAATCTTTATTTCTTCCAAAAGTGCTGGAATACAGTTAAGAATGATGTGTGGCAAACTGTGGAGGCTTTTTATAAAAAAGGTTCCTTTATCAGAAGTATGAATTCTACTTTAATTGCATTGATCCCCAAGAAAAAAGGAGCCATAGAGGTGAAAGACTTTAGACCTATAAGTCTGTTGGGAAGTGTTTATAAGATCATTGTAAAGCTGCTGGCAGAAAGACTTAAATTGGTAGTTGATAAAGTAGTATCAAATAGTCAGAATGCATTTATTAAGGGTAGGCAAATAATAGATGCTGCTATGATTGCCAATGAGAGTGTTGATTATCTGTTGAGAATGAAGAAAAGAGGTGTTGCTTGCAAATTGGATCTTGAGAAAGCTTATGACCATGTGAATTGGTCTTGTCTGTTAAGTATTCTAAGACAAATGAACTTTGGCGACAGATGGATTGAATGGATCAAGTACTGTGTATCTACTGCTAGTTTTTCTGTGTTAATAAATGGAAATCCCCAGGGCTATTTTAGATCTCAAAGGGGCTTGAGACAAGGGGACTCTTTGTCCCCATATTTGTTTACTTTGATGATGGAAGTTTTTAGTAGGATGTTAATGAAGGTAGAGAAATTGGGATGGATTAAAGGGATGCACTTTGGCAGATTTGGTGATAATAGAGTCACAGTTTCTCATGTTTTATATGCTGATGGCACCCTCCTTTTTTGTGAAGGAGAGAAAGAGCAAATACTATACCTCAAAGGAGTTCTGCATGTTTTTGAAGCAGTGACTGGATTAAGAACTAACCTGGCCAAAAGTAGCATATTTAGCATTAATGCTGATAATACAGTTGAGGAGTTGGCTGCTATTTTGGGTTGTAAGGTTGAGAAATTTCCAACAGTATATCTTGGGCTTCCTCTGGGTGCTAGAAAAAATGATCAGAACATGTGGCAAGGGGTCTTGGATAGATGTGCAAATAAACTGGTTCCCGGGAAGAAACAATATTTATCTATGGGAGGTAGAGACATTGATAAAAAAGTGTGTTAGATGGAATGCCAACCTACCTGATGTCCCTCTTTGCTATGCCTGTTGCAGTGGAGAAAACGATAAACACCATAAGGAATAATTTTTTATGGGATGGCAATGCTACTAAAAAGAAAATGCATTTAGTCAAATGGCAAGTGGTGTTGAATGATAAAGAAGGGGGTGGCTTGGGGATAAGGAATTTGAAAGCCCACAATAAGAGCTTACTTTTTAAATGGTTATGGAGATTTACTCATGAAGGGGATAAGGTATGGAAGAAGCTGATCAATGCTATTTATGGAATCAAGACTGATTGGAGACCTTCCTCTTTACACTTGAACGCAAAAGGAGGCATTTGGAAGTGTATTAGTAAACTTTGGGAAGAATTTCTGAAATTTACTAAGCTGGAAGTTGGGAATGGGCAAAGAATTAAATTCTGGACAGATTTATGGATAGGGGAGGAATGCTTGAAATCTAAGTATCCTACTCTATTCAATTACTCTGTTAATAAGGGTTGTGATTGCTGATTTTTACACAGAGACAGGATGGCAAGTGGAGCTCAGAAGAAACTTGAACGACTGGGAGGTAGATGACTATTGTTTCTTAATTCAGCAGCTTGACTCAGTCTCAATTAATCATAGTAAGGTGGATGCACTGATCTGGGCAGAGGATAAGGATAAAAAGTTTTCAGTCAGAAGCTGTTATAATATGCTGATTAAGAAGTCAAGTCACAGGGTTAATAATTGGCCATGGAAGATGATATGGAAGACAAAAGCTCCAGACAAGGTGGCATGCTTTGGCTGGATAGCAACTTGGGAAGCATGTTTGACACAAGACAATTTGCAAAAAAAGAGGTTTTAATCGTAGTAATAGATGCTATCTGTGTGAAGGAGATTTAGAATCAGTGAATCATATTCTGCTTCATTGTAGAATTGCTAGACAATGCTGGGATTTATTCTTAAACATCTGTGGAATCTCTTGGGTAATGCCACAGACTGTTAGGAGCTTGTTGGAAGAGTGGCATAATCAAAGAGTACCTAGAAGACTGAAGCAAATATGGAGAACCATCCCATTATGCATCTTCTGGACTTTATGGCTGGAAAGGAACCGGGCTTGTTTTGAAGGACACAGGGAGCACATTTTTAGAATTAGAAACAAATGTATTCACAACTTGTTTTATTGGTGTAAAAGCATTGTATCAGTGGAACAACAACAGTTTTTAGAGTTTCTGGATCTACTAGGAGGCCTGTAGGATATGGTTGTTTTGGGGTGTTTTTTGCAACTTTTTGTACCATTTTGGTACCTTATTAATGAAACCTTTACCTTATCAAAAAAAAAAAAAAGAACCACTGCATAAGTAGATGGAAAAACTAGTACACAATTGAAAAGTAGACAGCAACGGAAAATAAGAACGGGGTGAAAAATATAAAGCCAATAGCTCTTGTCTAAGGAAGTCAGATGTAGGACCTAGCAACAAACTACCAGTGTCAATTCTAAACTTGGCCTACTTTACCTTATTGTTCTCCTCTACATGGAAAGGAAAGAAATATACCTGAAGCATGAACTGCAAAGGCTCGCCACAGAAATCGCAAAGACATGATCTCCCTGTTGGCAAGTTAACTGGATCCAACCAAGCCTATACTTGCAAAAACAAAAACTACAACTCAAAAAACATCAGAAGCGCCTTTCACACTAGTAAATATGGAAAATAGCATAAAGGAATTAACACAAAAACTTTTCTAAACATACAGGAATACCCCCAGCTTTGCTTGGAAATAGCTCACGTCGCAGTGACCATGAATTCTCGGGCATTTCAAGAACCCCTAATCCCACAGGTTCTTTCTCTTCATCCTCCTCCTCATCATCATCATCATATGAATTAACTTCTCCACTATCATCAATTTCATCTTCCTCATCAAGAAGAGTAATTTGCAAACTCCTCATGCTTTTTGTAGCATTAATTTCTTCATCCATTTTCGCCTAAACTATGGTCACTGATGATTTAATAAATTAAATGTATCAGAAAAAATTCACAACCCCCACAAAATATAAACAAAACAAAGAGAAACACCTCATGTTATGTTCAAGCATAATACTAAAAATCCACCACCAAGATTCATTTTTCTACGGAGACGCAATTCATGTAAAAATGGTAGAAACAAGATTAAAAATTGAAGAACCAACTGGGAAACTAACAAGAAGGAAAAGTACATCACTTTTTAACAGAGAACCAGTTCATATAAAGAGGAAAAAGTACCTGAATTAAATACCTGTTTCTTTTTTTAACAGTGTGTTCAAAGTTAAAAGCTGAAACAGAAAACAGCAAGAGCAGAAGAAGGGTTGAAGAGGCAAAGACATAAACCTCGTTTGAGTTTGGGCTTAAATAGTCGTGGAAATTGGCCCAACAAATAATTGGTTGGCACTGAACCAGCTTATGTCGTTAACCCACTTTAGTACTCCTAATACTTTCTTCGATACATGCAGTTAACACTTCGGGGTCATTTGGTAGGGTTCATAAGAATAATGTTGAATAAGGTGTATTAGTAATGCTGGTATTAGTTATGCTTGCATTAATTATGTTGGCAATAGTTATGTTGGCAATAGTTATGTTGACATATTTCTTATTCATTTTTTCGTTTGATGTATTAAAGCATTGCACAATTTCTATAAGAATTGATTGTTTACAAAAATACCCTCAAAACCAATCCATCACTCTATTTTTTTAAAAGAAACATATATTGAGGAAACATATGTTGAGAAATATTTTTATATGAAAAAAGTTTTAAAAAATTATTTGATTTGTCTACCTATATTGTAGTATAGAACTGAATATTTATTCATAAAATCAACCTTGCATTAATATAATAGCATATTTTATTTAAGCATAAATTTTGAAGGGCAATTTTGTCTTTAACTAAGCTAATGCATGCATTAAAACCCATTACATTGTTAATACCATGCTTTTCTATGCATTAGTTATGCATAGGATAATACCAAATAGGGTGTATGTGTATAACTAATGCTTGCATAACTAATGCATAGGTTTAAAATGTGTACCAAACAAGGCATTGTTAACACACAAAGCTAATGCATGCATTATTTTATTTAATGCATCCTACCAAACGACCCCGAAGGGAACTAGAGATTATACAACTAGGTTTGTAGTTTCAATTTTGATCTCTTCGTCACCGAATTGTCTTTTCATAGAACTACTTATATATAAAATTGCAATCCCTAAAACTAAATGAATTTCTCGCTTTTAAAAAAAAAAGAGCAATTTATCCTTAAAAATGAAAAAGTTATTTTCAAAACAAGAAAATTATGCACATATTATGTGATAAATACTTATCTGCGCTCGATATTTACATCAAGCCAAATAATTTAACCTTAATTGTGAAAAATGGATGAAACTCTTCTTCGTTTCTCATCCTCTCCATTTCCCAAGTTCCTTTATAGATTTATGACATTTGTCTTATTTATATATTAAAGGCCCAAATTTATTTACTTCCACCACTAGTTTTAACCATGGTTTAATAGGAAAATATTACACCTATCATTATTTTAGGAAAAAAGGTACTTTCGAACTTTGGTAAGAACTATTCATCTCATAAAATTTTGGCAACCATTAAAAATGCTTTCATGTATACTTCGAATGTTATATTTAAATTGATGAGATCATGGAATGCTTCACAATAAAATCACAAACTCAGCAATAGAAAGAATAAATTTTTTAAATGTCTACGGAAAAAGAATTTAAGAGTTGTATAACTTTAGCCTAAATTTAAAAAATTACCACATATCCAAGCATTTCACCATCACCTGAAAATACTAATTAAATAATTGTAACCCCCACCCTTTTTTCAACCATTAGATCTTTATTAATATAAAACAATAGTTATAAAATTTAGAATACTTTATTGACATGAAAGGTAATTCGAAACCTAAAACAGATGCACTTAAATAAACCTTATACTAATATTTGGAAATTAGAAGATAAATTTTCTTATCAAAGCTAGAGAGTACCTTTTTTCCTAGAATAATGATAATATTGTATGGGTCAAAATCTGCCTTTAAAATATTTAAGCCAATATAATACTAAGGAAAGAGTTCCCAATTCATCGTTTGTCGAGAAGGCCCAAGGAGCAGCAAGGGCCGTAGTCGACAAGAGTCGTTCTCAACAAGAACAGTAGTCAACAAGAGCCGTAGTCAAGGTGTCAACAAGGGACGAGATCGAGGTCGCGTATCGTTGACAGAGCTGTAACAGCTAGTTTTCAAGATAGGATATTAAAGAGGATATTCTAATGGATATTCTCTGCACTTGTAATATTAGGGTTTCTTAGGAACATATCCCGTATAAATAGAAAAAGAGACAATGATAGGGGCATAGGAACATGTCCCATATAAATAGAAAAAGAGACAATGATAGGAGCATGTGATATTCACTTTGTAAAGAAGACATTTTGACTAAAAGATTCGTCTCTCTTGCTAAGATATAAACACCACTTTTTCACTAAGATTCTTGTCCATACTTTTCCATCAGATCTGAGAATAACTCGAATATTCAAGGATTTGTCTATCATTCATCATTGTCAGGAGGAACATCCACCTATTCCATCCTTTATTGGGTGAATCACTCCTCCTATTTACTTAAATGTCATTTATTACTGTTCATTACTATTAAATGCTATATTGTTGCTCCTGATTTATAGAACAGTTACTACGTATTATTGCCACTATTCGTCCAGATCCATACGACATTTATTGTTTCTTTAAAAAATCCACCTAATATTATTAACTAAGATTAACCTTTGCTCATAAAAATTTAATTATTTGAACCAAGATCTATATTTTTTGGTCAAACAATTTGGCGCCGTCTGTGGGGATTTCTTAGTTAAACTTTTAGTTTCCTCTAGATCTACAACTAGCACGGGTCACTAACGTCAAAAAAAAAAAACCAAGACCTCCTTTCTTTGTGTATACAAAATTCTACATGGCAGGTAACCGAGAAGAAAGGACGAGGATAACAAGTGACCTCCCAACCAACCTCATGAATGTCATCAACGAAAGCTGTGAAACGACAGTGAGGTGGGTCACCGCCCCCACACTGCAGCATAACAAGCGTCCTCAACAAACCCGCTCCAGGCACGACTGCAGAAATCGCAAGGACTTGCACGATACAGCAAACAGACGAGCAGTACAACCAACCCCTACCTCCAACGACAGGTATAACTCATAATATTATTGATAGTGCAGGTGACAACGCATTAAACACCAAGAACGGATTCTTAAAAGGATGGAAGAAATGGAAAATGAAAACAATGCGCTCTGAGATCAGATGAAAGAACACCAAGAACGGGTTGATAAGATACCAGGCTCCTAAGCTACTGCCGAAAAGGGACGTTGGCCGGTTCGTCGATTTAAAAAGAGCAATTTATACTTAAAATGAAAAAGTTATTTTCAAAACAAGAAAATTATGCACATATTATGTAAAATACTTATCTGCACTCGATATTTACATCAAACCAAATAATTTAACCTTAGTGGTCAAAAATGGATAAAACTCTTCTCCGTTTCTCATCCTCTCCATTTCCCCAAGTTCCTTTATAGATTTATGACATTTGTCTTATTTATTTATTAAAGGCCCAAATTTATTTACTTCCACTAGTAGTTTTAACCATGGTTTAATAGGTAAATATTACTCGTATCATTATTTTAGGAAAAAAGGTACTTTCGAACTTTGGTAAGAACTATTCCATCTCATAAAATTTTGGCAACCATTAAAAATGCTTCCATGTATACTTCGAATGTTATATTTAAATTGATGAGATAATGGAATGCTTCACAATAAAATCACAAACTCAGCAATTGAAAGAATAAATTTTTTAAATGTCTACGAAAAATGAATTTAAGAGTTGTATAATTTCAGTCTAAATTTAAAAAATTACCACATATCCAAGCATTTCATCATCACCTAAAACTACTAATTAAATAATTCAACAGCTTGATTTAACCTCAAAACCCAGGGAATATGAAGAAAAGGAACTGAATTTTGAATCAGCTTTGTGATTTTTACTTAAATTTTTTGTTGTTTTTCTTAAGAAATTTTGAAGCTCGGATTTGAAATTCTAGGGTTTTCAACTGATGCTCTCTCTTAGGCGTGTGAAAATGTCCAAAAGTGAGTGAGAATGTGTCCTTTTATAACAAAAAAATAGGGCATCCTTCAGATTTTTCTATTCTCTTTTAATCCCTTCTCTTTCAGATTATGGCCCTCTTCCCTTCCTTTATCTCTTCAAAATTAACCACTTTAAATCCCAAACCTAATTAAATCCAATTTTGCATAACTAAACCATTTTCCTTAATATTCACACTAATTAAAGTGTGAATTAGCAAATTAAACCAATTAATTAATCACACTAAAATGCAAGGAAAATAACTAGTGTATTATTATTTTTTGTGATTGTTGTATCTAGTAATGCAATTAACATGTAATTAGGGCCTAAAAATGTAAAGATTAAAATATAAAATATTTTTGTTATTTTTAGGATTTAAAATGCTACTAATATGCAAAACACAACTAAACACAAAACAAATCAAATAGAAAAAATCCTAAAATTCTATTAACTAAATAAAAACTATTTTGAAATATTTTTTAGGAGTAATTTGACATTAGAGCAAAAATTACGTGCTCACAATGGCCAAGCACCTTAAATTTCCAAAAAAAAAAATTGATTTAAAAAAAAGTAATTTTGGCCTCCTAGAAGCTTGGCCAATCAAGCTCTTAGTACTCCTAGAAAAGAGAATAAAGAGCACTCGGAGATGAAGAGAACAGCCCCAATAAAGAGGTAAAGAGTTCATATTTCATTTTCTTTGTATCTGATATCTTGCGTAATTAAGCACGAACATAAATGCACACACTCTCACTCAAGCACGAGGGAGGAAACCTACCTCTGGTACAAGCTAGTGGATATTTGAACGAGGTTATTGACATAAACTTGTACATTACAATTCACATTTGTTGTAGAATATCAAGACAAAGCGAATGAATTCTATGAGTTTATACATTTACTTGTGCGAGCGTTTTATTCGTCTCATTTTCTGTTGCTTCAATTATCCTATAATATACTTACTTGGGCAATAATGTGAGCTTCGACTAACTGATATGAATTGTGGCATAAACTTTGTTGTGTAAAGTTTAAACTTTGAGATGATGTGAATTGTGGGGAGAGAATGATAGGAAGGGTGGGGTTCAACTACATTTTAGTTGCCTCTGTAGCAGTACCGGTAGAGCTTAACATTTATTTTAACCTTTTCAGGTTATGTAACTATAAGGTAGTGAATATAGTGAAAAAGGTAGTATTGGTTTTTTTCTTTCCACGTTTTCCAATCATCCCATTCCATATGACTTTGTCAAAATTTATGTTTTGCACCTAATGGGAGTTCGAAATAATTTGCTGAAAGCTTTTGTAACTTAGTATGTAACAAGTTTTCTTGTATATTTTGGGGTAACTTAGCCCCTCAAAGATTATAAGTGATCGACGTACAGGATGAGTAAGAAAGGAGACAAATGATTCCATTGTCTTAAGCCACTTTGGGATCATCTCCGTTTATTGCCAAAACCCACGCCTGCCAAATGTATGCTTTCTTTATATCTACTATTAGAACAATTAAGTCCAATCTATATCTATCTATCTATATTATTATAAAAGTGAGAACCCTTTAACCTAAAAGTTGAATTACCAAAATGCTCTTTTTAAAAACCTAACTAATCTAAATAATATTCTAAAAAAGAACCAAGCCAAAGTTTCATGTTCTTTGTTAAAAGTCACAACCGTTCCTTTTTGTATTCCATTTACGAAATGGAGATGAAAAACTACACACCATATACAAATGAGATCCATAGTGGAAAAAAAAAATGACAAGCCCATAGCCATACATTAGTTCGTAAAAGTTCTTTAATTTTGAGCCGAAAAATGGAAGTTAACAATGATCTTCACACCATCCTCGACAAACAACGTCGTGAGACATTTTACGATGGAGTTTCAATGTGTTTAGTTAAAGGAGATTTAATTAGTTTTCAAGGAAAAAATTTATATGTGTCAGTACCATTAGAAGTTTCGACATGTTTCATTATTTACAATGGTATTTTGGTTTTCTCATTCACATAATGTCCTTGTAGTTTTAATTAACTTTCTCTAATGAAAAAGGACCTTTCCTATATTTATATTTTTTTTACTTATAAAGTATTTGTTGATGAACTTTATGTCTTTCTCTGTACATACTACCTTATTGAGATTCTTTTTAGATTGACAGAGTTAAGATACTTCCAATTTCCAGTTTCATTGATAAACATAGAATAAAAACTTTTAATATATTTCTTGTTTGATTTATGCTTTAGAGTGATTCGTCTTAAAATTTGTGGAAACTCATGAATTATTTAATATTCTGCCATTACAATAATAAAAATATAATGAATGATAATATTGACATGTATTAAGCACTAAGTTGTTAAATTAAAAAAGTTAGTATGTGTACTTTGTTATGCTATTACCTTACAAAATTTCAATTACATGTGTCACACCTTTTTCCCGAGGGATAGAGGGAGTTTTTCCAATTAAAGTGATATTATTCAAAATAAAATTATTTATTTAATTAGAGTCGCCACTTGGGATAATTATTATGGTGTCCCAAATTACCGGTCTATTTTAGAATCCCAAATCGAGGAAATTGACTCTATTTATGGTCTGCGAACACAGAAGATCGGGTAAGGAATTCTGTTAACCCGGGAGAAGGTGTGAGGCACTCACGAGTTCCGTGATTTTAGCACGGTCACTTAACAATTAATAGCTGGCCTAATTATCTGATTCAATACATGTTTAAAACCTTTTATGTGTTATCGCTTTTATATCGCTTTTAATTATTTTAAACAATTATGGAATTTATTTAAACAAGTCGCGATGTCGCACACTTAATGTTTTTGTACACATCGCAAATCACGCCACGTGAAACGTACCCGTGATTCACAACATGTTTATTTTAATTATTATTTGAAGTTATGGTCAAGTCGCGTGAAACGCGCACTTGAGTTGGGATTTACGTATCGTGACCATGCCACGGAAACCGTACCCATAGTCACGACGATTTATTTAATCGCGCCTAAAGCAAACTATGATGTTCATCAATAACTATTTCTTAGAGTCTGGGATTATTGCGGAGCAGTGATTAGAAAAGCGATCGCTTCGTCGCTTTCTTAAAGCGACGAAGCGACGCGACGCGACCCAGTGTCGCTTCTAGCTGCCTGAGGCGACTCAACCGAGGGAAGCGCACGCTTCAATGGAGGAAACGACAAAGCGACGAAGCGAGGAAAGCGATGAAGCGATCGCTTCTATTAAAAAAGCGCAGAGGGCCCTTTTTTAAAAAAAACTTTGGGTATGTTTTTTTATTATACAAAACATACCCTAAATCGACAAAAACTGACCATTTCTTCTTCTTTCTTCTTCGATCGACGTCGACCAAAGCTAGGGTTCAACTTCATCGACATTGCTGACCAGTCCAGGTAATTTTCTTCTTCTCTTTTTTTATCTTTCTTCTTTCTTTCTTCTTGTTCCCGTCCAGATTCTGCTTTTTTTTTCTTTCTTTTTCCTTCTTTCTTCCTTCTTCTTCGTTTATCTCTGACAGCCCAGTTTGCACACTGTTGACTGTTCAGACTTCAGCGTCTTCTCCTTCTTCTTCCTTTTATCTCTAACTCGTCCAGATTCTGTTTTTTTCCCCTTTTATTCTTCTTATTTATTAATTTTAATATGTATTTTAGTTTATAAAATTAATTATTATTTATATATGTTATATTTTTTAGTTTATTTGATTTTTTTAATGTATATTTCAGTATATAAAATTAATTATTATTTATATATGTTATATTTTTCAGTTTATTTGATTTTTTAATGTACATTTCAGTATATAAAATTCATTATTATATATATGTTATATTTTCAGTTTATTTGATTAATTTTATATGTATTTTATTTTAGAAAATTAATTAATTTATATATATATTAGTTTATTTGATTTTTTTAATGTATATTTTAGTATATAAAATTATTATTATTTATATATGTTATATTTTTCAGTTTATTTGATTTTTTTAATGTATATTTTAGTATATAAAATTATTATTATTTATATATGTTATATTTTTCAGTTTATTTGATTTTTTTAATGTATATTTCAATATATAAAATTCATAATTATATATATGTTATATTTTCAGTTTATTTGATTAATTTTATATGTATTTCATTTTAGAAAATTAATTATTATATATATATGTTATATTTTAGTTTTTTTGATTTTTTTAATGTATATTTCAGTATATAAAATTATTATTATTTATATATGTTATATTTTTCAGTTTATTTGATTTTTTTAATGTATATTTCAGTATATAAAATTATTATTATTTATATATGTTATATTTTTCAGTTTATTTGATTTTTTTAATGTATATTTCAGTATATAAAATTATTATTATTTATATATGTTATATTTTTCAGTTTATTTGATTTTTTTAATGTGTATTTCGGTTTATAAAATTAATTATTATATATATTATATGAAATTTTCAGTTTATTTGATTATGTATTTTCTTATATCTTAATAGGGATTTCAAAATGTCTCAAAGATCGAAAGATAAAGACCCGGCTTGGCGATATGGCGATAGAGTTAATGAGAAGAATACAAATATTGTATGCAAGTTTTGTAACAAGATTACAACGGGTGGAATTTATCGCTTTAAATTCCATCTTATTGGTGGCGATAGAAACGTCACAAGTTGTCCGAAATGTCCACCGGAGGTGAGGGATGAAATAAAGAATTTTGTTGAGAAGAAGAAGGAGCAAAAAAATCAAATGAGTCATCAACCATTGGTGACCAATCTTGATGATGATGATGATGATGATATTGAAGAATTGTCACTTCCAACAAAACGAGGAAGAGATGCAATCTCTTCAAGCCATGGATCGACGAGTACGAGTAGGACTAAAGGTCCTATAGATTGCTATTTCCCAAAGAAGACGGAAGGAAAGAGCGGTGGAAAAGATGTACAAAAAATTGCTAAGGACAGATATTTTGAAGGATCGTGCAGTTAGAGCTTTTGCACGATGGGTCTATGATGCTGGGATCCCCTTCAATTGTGTCAACTATACTGACACTTTTGGAGACTTTATTGAGGCCGTTGGTCAATACGGACCTGGAATGAAGCCTCCCACTTATCATGAAATCAGAGGTCCTTATCTAAATAAGGAAGTGGAGGAGACTAATAAAATTGTGGAGGAACATAAAGTTGCGTGGAACAAGTATGGCTGCTCCATTATGATGGATAAGTGGATGGCAAGAACTGGGAAAATGATTATTAATGTGTTAGTGAATTCTCCCAAGGGAAGTTTGTTTCTTGAGTCCATTGATGCTAGCGACTCATCCACTAACCACATCAAAATGTTCACCTTGTTTCAGAACACCATTGAAAAGATTGGCCCAAGCAAAGTTGTTCAAGTGGTCACTGATAATGCGAGTGAAAATGTGAAAGTGGGTGGCATGGTGGAAGGAGCGTACAAGAATGTCTATTGGACTCCATGTGCGGCTCATTGTATCAACTTAATATTCGGGGACATTTTCAAGGAAAAACCCTTATCTACAGTTTTTGGCCAGGGCGTTTGGGTACATTCTTATATTTCTCAGCGGCCTTGTTGTTGAATATGATGAGAAGATTCACCAGACAAAAAAAATTGATGAAACCGGGCAAGACAAGGTTCGCCACTGCTTTCTTGACTTTGCATAGTATCCACTTGCAAAAATCCAATTTGAGAAAGTTGTTCACTTCAGAGGAATGGAGCAAGAGTAAATTTGCAAAGGAAAGTGCAGGGAAAGATGTTGCACGCATTATTCTTTCTTATTCTTTTTGGAATAATGTCCTTCATGCTCTTAAAATTGGTGGCCCTTTGGTTAAAGTACTCCGTTTGGTGGATGGGGAGCAAAAACCACCAATGGGCTACCTCTATGAAGCTATGGATAGGGCCAAGGAGGCTATTCAAGCATCATTCACTGATGAGCAGAAATATGCAAAGGTCTTTCAGATCATTGATGCAAGATGGAGTGAGCAACTTCATAGACCTTTGCATGCAGCTGGACTTATTCTGAACCCGTCACTCTTTTATGATCAGCATGAGAATAATTCATTGGCTAGAGAAGTGTGGACAGGATTCCATGAGGTTNAAATTGGTGGCCCTTTGGTTAAAGTACTCCGTTTGGTGGATGGGGAGCAAAAACCACCAATGGGCTACCTCTATGAAGCTATGGATAGGGCCAAGGAGGCTATTCAAGCATCATTCACTGATGAGCAGAAATATGCAAAGGTCTTTCAGATCATTGATGCAAGATGGAGTGAGCAACTTCATAGATCTTTGCATGCAGCTGGACTTATTCTGAACCCTCACTCTTTTATGATCAGCATGAGAATAATTCATTGGCTAGAGAAGTGTGGACAGGACTCCATGAGGTTGTTATCAAGTTGACCCCAGATGAAGACTTGCAAGAAAAGATAGTAGATCAACTTGCTATTTACAAGGCAGCTGAGGGACTTTTTAAGCTCCGACTTGCTATTAAACAAAGAAAGACAAAGTCGCCAGATGACCAAGTGCTTCTATATTTTATAGCTCTAGCTTTAATGTATTTTTTATACTTATTAACTCTTGAATATTTTTTTTCACTTCTATAGTTGAGTGGTGGGACCAATATGGTGTAGAGACTCCGGATTTACAGACTTTCGCCATCAGAGTTCTAAGTTTAACTTGTAGCTCATCCGGATGTGAAAGGAACTGGAGCATTTTTGAACACGTGAGAAATAAAAAGAATTATTTCGTATTTTGAGATAAAGTAAATTATATCTCAATTGTCCCAACTCCTACTAATTAGTTGACACATCTTGTTTGCAGATTCATACAAAGAAGAGGAATCGACTAACCTTGAAGCGCCTCCATAATCTAGTGTTCATAAAATACAATAGAGCATTGAGGCGTCGCTACAACCACCGCAATCTAATTGATCCAATTCTTTTGGACAATATTGATGAGGCTAATGAGTGGCTAACCGGAGTCCCCGAAAATTGTGAAGATGAAGAAGTATTTGAAGGCGATTCTAATTTCACTTGGGGTGATGTTGCGGTTGCTAGTGGAGTTGGGGAGAATCCTTATGGTTTAAGGGGGAATACTTCAAGTTCAAGCTCGATTAGGAAGGGAAAAAGTGTGGCTACTACAAGTCGATCCCTATCCCTAATTGATGAAGATGAAAGTGATCATAAAGAGGAAGAGGAGGGGGAAGAAAAAGATGACGAGCAATATGAATATGATAGAGGAATTCAAGATTTTGACAATCTTGAAGAAGAACAAGAAGAGTAGAAGAATAAGATGTTGATTCTAGTAATTTAGTAGCTTTGATTTTGACAATTTGAACTTTTTGATTATTTATAATTTTATATTGTGTCTTTGCAAGGTTTACATTATGTTTTTTAAGAATTGCGCTTCACTTTAATAAAGCGTGCGCTTCGCTTTGCGCTTCGCTTTTGAAGCCAGGCAAGCCCTTATCGCTTGTTTGCACTTCTCGCTCTTAAAAATGCTGTTGCGGAGGTCCAGGACTTAAGGAATTTTTATTTTTGGTAGGCAAGAGCATGTAAAGTACAAGTTAAAATTGCTGGCTCATACAGGCAAATCCATAAAAGCCACAGACAGCATCTCTTCATTTGTTTCGCAATTTAGTATTAGCTACAGTTTCCATCCAGAAAAGGATCAAATGCCTTTTTTACTAATTAAAGATGACTATTGCACATTTGCTGGAGTAATTTCTCAATCAACATCAGCTAACACAAAAGAAACCTTTTAAAAATGGAATATAAACAGAAACCATCTTAATTAATGACCAAAGTTTAACAACACGAAATCAGGCTACCGGAATCAAACTCATAAAACACTTGAGTTACCGGTTCATACTATAAGAAATCAAGCCAATTGGTGTCCAGATCTGTTCTCCACATGTTTTCACCCAATTCCCATCTTCTAAAACCACATTACTCAATGTAAAAACAAACAGATTTAAAATCATTTTCTGACATAACAAGTGCAGTAAATTTGAATTGCAACTCGATTTACGTTTCAATACAGTAACCAAACAAGAGTAGCATGGTGAATATCAACCAATTTGGCAGATTTGAAACAATACAAAGTATGAACAGATTTGCATTATTCTCATTCAAATAAATCAAAGGTTTATATCATTCGATTAAAAATGGTACCTGGCCACAACAAACAAATGGGAGAAAATGGATCTCTGACTTTGAAGGAGAAGCAGTAACTAGAATTAGGAGCTCAGCTCTTAGCCAAACAAAGCAAAAGGAACAAATTCCAGTACAGAACCGCAACAAACAGCCATAAATTCGAGATTCAACAGCCTTTTATAGATCCAGGGAAGAGTTCAAAAATTCAGCAATCAATTACTCCCCAAATCTTCTTCGAAATCCTAGTTTTCTTTTGTTTTTCGAGCTTTTGTGATTTTCAGATCTTCATTTGGATTTTCCCAGCTTTCGTTTCAGTTATGTGTGTTCAAAATGTGAGTGGGTGAGCCTTCCTCTTTGTGTGAGTGTGATGGTAAGTGAGTGTGAGGACAGAGTGTATGCGTGTGTGTGATCAGATGAGAGAGTGAGGAGGGAGAGGCGGCGTCTAGGATTTTTCTCGAAGGAGAGGGAAGGGGATTAGGGTTCCTTTTGTTAGAGAGGAGGTATAGACGACGTAGTTTTGATACCAAACTACGTCGTTTGGACTAGGCAAATTTCTGGACCAGGTATTGGGATTGGGCTGGGGCGGAATGTGGCAAACATTGGGCTTGAAACAATAGCCCAGTCCGATTTTAGCTTAGCAACCCTTTTCTTTTTTTTTTCCTTCTTTATTAGACTTTTCAAAAATAGCCACATTACTTCTAATTGAATTTATTTTGCAAAAATATCTAATTAGCATTTTAACTAATTAATTAAACTAATTGATTAAAGCTAATGTATATTTTTGTGATTTTTGTTTTAACCATGCTTCTAACTTATGATTAATTCTTAAATGCAATTAACACACTTAATGAAAGATAAAAATATTTTTGATAATTTTCATAATATAAAACATTTCTAAATATGCATGAACAACGTGGATAAATACAAAACAAATAAAGAAAAATTTCTAAAATTCTATAAAAGCAATTAAAATTATTTTTGGACTATTTTTAGGAGTAATTTTCTATGTGGGGCAAAAATTAGATGCTCACAACATGTATCTAATTAAACTTTGATTGTTTATTTCCATAGATTTAGACGACATTCAATCATTTTGATTTTGACAAACAAGTTAGCATTCGATGTTTCATATTGATCAATACTCACATAGACTTGTATTTTATTCTAATTATTGACTTGTATTTTATTTTTTCATTTATAATTATCTATTCAAAGCTTTGTATGGCCTTATGAATATTAACTAACAAGTGTACTGTGTGAATTTGGTATACATGTGTGCCACCCGTTTCGAGAAACTAATTATTATAAAGGTAGAAAACCCAAAAGTTAAAAGTTAAATTACTAAAATACTCTTCTAAATTAATAGTTTTATTTAGGCATTTAATTATATTAAAATAATATTAAAAATAATATTTAAATAAATAAAAAATTAAAGTGCCTCCTCTAAAAATTGTGTTATTTCAGAGAATAACTATAAATGCTATTTATTTTTTCAAAAAGCAAAATATATCAAGATGACGACTTTGTGGTATAATAGAATGTTAAAGGGGCACATATTTTTTTTAAACTTTAAAGAGCAATTAGGATGTTCTTTTTGCTTTGAACATACTCAAATTTTTTGTCCACTTTTATTGTCTAAATATTAAAAAATCATCAAATAAAAATCTTTTTTAAATGTGAAATCTATTTTAAACGGTAAAAAGATTGGTTAACATTTTGTACAAAGGAATATGAATAGGAAAATGACGTATATATGTAATTGGTCCCGAGTAAAAGAAGTATTTTAGAAAGAAATCGTAGGTAATATAAGATAACGATCGAGCTAAAACTTTATAAGAACTGTTAGTAATGATTGAGTTTGGATGCCTGTGCGATTACAGAGGTATCAATAGAATAGCCTGGATCAAACTCCTAAATATGATAATATCTATCATTTAGAAACTTGCAATTTTTTTAAAAAAAAATTATATTATAACATAAATATGTCTTTTGAATATTTTTATATTATTTTTAAAAATTTATTTTCATTAACACGAAGCACACGCGCAACGCGCTTATGTTAAAGATGCAGTTTCAAAAAAGTGTAATACATGGACTCAAAATTAGCCCAAAAAATGGGGGTTACAAGGTGCAAAAGGTTCATCAAATACCATTGCAGCAGGTAGAAATAGGAAAAGATAAGATGTAAGGAAAAATGGAGCAGTAAAAGAAGGAAGGGAAAAACTCATGCATCTTTTACTACTAGTAATTGTCTGTTGTTCTAAGCTCTGCATATATATTTTCATTTACGACTACAAAATCATTTTTTTTTTTTGGCATTAACTAGTTGAAAACCGTTGGTTGTCTATACTAACTTGTTATGTTATCTCAAGCTATATACAGAACTTAAAACGCCATTTACTACTATTTGCAAAGAGGGTTAAACTAGGGGAAGCCATAGCATCCTTCTTGGGCATAGACATTATCCATCCTTTACATTACAAGGTTCTTGAGGCTTCAGAAAATTGTGATATTCCAACTGAGAGATCTCTTTGGCAGATGCTGGGTCAAACTTGCATCTAATAAAGCTGCATGACACATTGACATGTCAATAATTAATGGCAGCTATCTATAATAAGAATTTGTGATATGTCATTGCTGATGATTGAGCACATGACAGACCCAGCTGAAGTCAAAGTTGATTCATGATGGGAATCACATAGGAAGGGGACCAAATTAGTACGTAGACTATTAACCTGTTTCGTCTTTAAGTTTTGTCAAATTTCAAAAATCTGCTTATTTTAAAAAGTCTTTTATGTTGGAAGTGTTTTTCAAAAAGGTACTTTTTGACTAATCAATTTGAAATGTGTTTTTGCCAATATTAGAGTAGCAAGTTGTGCTAGGCCAAATTTCCAAAGTGCTTCGGTGGAAAAGCTAGCTTCTGAAAACAGTTTTTGCTCCTACTCAAGCACTTATTTTTTTCCTAAAATCTTTGTCAAGCACTTCTACTCTCTAAAATTAACACATTAAAAAAAAAAACTTTTGGCTTCCTAGAAGTTTCACCAAATGGGCTATAAGATGGGTGAAGAAGACCATGTCAGTCCCTAGTTCAATCAGTTAAAATCCTGCACTCAGTTGTTGGTTTCAATATTTATAACCAACTTCTCTAATGTTTCAATTCCGTTGGTCTTTGTAATTCTATGTAAATAAATTGAAATTTATCTTTCTTCACTCGAGCAAATTTAAATGAGAGAGAGAGGGAGGGAGCAAACATCATATCCGCCTTTCCCCTCATTCGCTTAAAGAGAGATCCCTGATGAATTTATGACCAGATAATGTCAGTTATTTGTTTTCCACTTTCTTCGGTCTGAACTATTTCTATACAAGCATTGTTATTACTATACAAGGTATTTGTCACCAGCAAAGGATGCGATGCAGCTGATGGGGTTGCTCTTCCGTTAACCAGAGGTCTCGGGTTCGAGTCCTGGGTATGGAAAAATCCTTGGTAGAGAGCGCTTCTCCCCGAATGGGGCCTTACGCGGCGAGAATCCGAATATAGTCGCGCTCCAATACGGATACCGGACACCGGGCGGAAAAAAAAAGGTATTTGTGATTGTCTATACACATGAAGGTTAAATGTTTAACATATGACACATTGCACAGCGTTTTCCAAATTATCCCTAACGAAGAGTACGCATAACAGAGCTAATGAAAGATATAAACTTTACTCTCTCTCCCTCTCTCTCTCTCATTATGGATTTGGGAACAAACATATTACGTATTATTCTTGCTCTCGAACCCAAATGAGAAGTCTCTTTGGTTTCAAAAACAACAAGAGAAAAAACATTTTGTTTTCTTCTCACAATCCTACCCTGCCAGCCTTGTCCTTTTATTTAACAATTGGCGCCAAAATTTAAATAGCATGTGATTTTTTTTCTGAATTGTATAACCATATCATCTAAAATTTTAAATTGTCAAAGATAGGATATTTACTTAATTATATCTCCAATACGTTGTTAGTGTGTATGCCTGATATTTTTTCATGCGCAAAAAACATTAGCTTTTTTTTGGATGAACGCTAGCGATGATATTTGAACTTACGAACTTTATCTGCTTTGCGACCTTGTTGAGTTGTATAATCGTCTTATCGAGAGAGTACACTTTTATAAATTTAATTTTTTTCATAGCCAAAAGGAGAGTAACTTACAACACTTTTGTTTACTTAATCATGTTTTCAACATCTTCTACCAAAACTATTTTGTTCGAAAAGACATTATTAGTATTTAAACATGTTTAGTTAGTTTTATGAAAGCTTTAAGACTTTTGAGGGTTTTAATGAAATGTTTATCCAAGGGACCAACCCAACACCAGTCAAATCCAAATTGAAATAACTGTATTTCAAAAGCAAAACAAAAATAATTATACTCAATGACAAATTAATGAAATGTTTATCCAAGAGACCAACCCATAACCAGTCAAATCCAAATTGAAATAACTGTATTTCAAAAGCAAAACAAAAATAATTATACTCAATGACAAAAACAGAAACCAAATGTTTAGGTGGCAAACACAGCAAAGAAGATTATATTATAGTAGGCATAAGTTCTTGCAAGAGTTAACTAACCTTCCGTCCCAGCGAAGAATTATCAGCGTATTCTTTTCGTTACCAAACGTAACAATGTATTGAGACACTCCAGGCAGTCGGAATTGCTGAAAAAATTAAGCAGGAACTCAAGAGCCTGAACAGAAGTAAAAAATGTGTCATTTGTATACGGTCGAAATAGATTTCGGCCTTCGCACGTCTGATCGAGTTCGAATGATAATCGATCGAAGTGAGACTTCGAGATGGGTTGCGAAGATGGAACAAACAAGCTTCGAACCCGAGGAGCCGATCAATATCGAGCAGTGTTTTAAAAGGCGTGGGCGTAAGGCGGGGCGTTTTACATATGCCTCAGCGGGGCGTAAGCCCCATAGATATTTAATTTTTAATATTTTATGAAATAATATAATGATAATTAATATTTATAAACAGGTAAAATTGCATAAGAATTGAAGAAAACTATATATATGTGTGCTCCATCCCCACAAAAAACTAATCAAAACAATCTATTATACGTTACTTACAAGCACAAATAATTTGAGTCTAAAAGAATAAAATTTTATATATGGAAGAACAAAAAGGATGATTAACCTGTAATTTGAACTTTGAATTTGCTGCTATGAAGAAAAATGTAGTTCTCTTTGTATTTGTAAAAAAAATTAAATATTCGTTGCTTTTGGGAGAGATATCAGCAGACTAGCGGACAAGATAAAATTTTGGGAAAACCATGAATTAGGGCTTAAATCAATAAAAAAGATCTTTACTTTTAAATTTAATACTTTTGAGTTCCTTTTTAAACCTTTTGAGTAATTACCAAACTCACTTTTGAGAATTTGGGTATTATATGAAGGACTAATTCAACAAATTTTGTTTTAATTTGAAAAAGTC